ACTGATTTTGTCTAACTTTTGGTATGTGTAGTGTATATGTGCTTGAAATAGTGATAGGTGTGTATATGCCTAGGCTGGTAATTTTGAATGTGGGTGTGCCTGAGTTGGTAGTGTGTGTGTGTGTGTGTGTGTGTGTGTGTGTGCGCACACACACACACACACACACACACACACACACACCCCCTGGTGAGGCAGTATGTGCCTAGTGTGTGTGTATGCACCTAATTGATTTTTGTGTGTGTATATGTGCAATTGTGTCACACCCTCCCATCTAACAGCACAATTCTGAGAACCTGAGAGTTGGCCTGGCCCCACGGGACAAAAATCCCACAGTTGGGTATGCAATACCTAAAACTGAAGTATAGGTAGAGGAATATTTCAAATAAGATCTACTTGTTTCTTTGTATCCTGGTATCTACAGTACCACCACTAAGTGTACATCAATGGATGCATCTCCGAGACTGTGATTTTAGCTATAAATAATATTCAAATATCTTTGACTTAAAAGGTAGGTTATAATGAAACTGGTTAGTAATAATATTAGGGCTGTGTGAAGCTTTGGTCCCAGGTTTGATTTGGCAGAGATCTGGCCTGATTTGGTGGCTGAATCTCTGAATCCAAATCAAATCAGAGAACCCTTTAATCTCTCTGAATCGATTCCAAGAGATTCGGACAGATTCAGCGAATCAGACGTAGGATACAGCTTTAAATGTTCTTCCTACATACCTCTAGGTGGCAGGGGCTCTGAACGCTGCAGTGCTGGGGCAGATGCATCGTCCCACAGAAGCACAGGGGGCTCCCCAGCGTGCTCAGCGACAGACCCAGAAGTGGACCAGAAGCACTTTTGGTCCAATTCCTGGTCTACATGCCCCCTCCCCCTCCCCCAACAACCCCCCGCTTGGTGACTGGTGCCACCTGGGTCCGGGGGGGGGGGCAGCCAGGGGTCTCCCTATGGTTGATTGCCAAGCCAGGGGCGCATGGGGGGACCCTCCAGAATGCTCCCCAGCAGACCCGGAGGTGGACTGAAAGTGCTTCCAGTCCGCTTCCAGGTTCGCTTCTGAGCATGCTGGAGACCCCCCTACACTGCTGTGGGACACTACATGTGCCCCAGCACTGCAGCAATCACAAGCTGCACTGCTACCTCAAGGCATGTAATAAAAAACTTTTAAAGCTGTGCCTGTGTCCGAATCACTGATTCGCTGAATCAGCATCAAATTTTCAGATTCGGATTTGGTCAAATTGGATCAGGGACAGTGATCTGAATCAATAGATCAAATCACTGCCCCTGTTTCAGGCTGAATCTGAATCGAATAGGGCCTGTTTAGCACAACCCTAATAAATATGCTCTTTTCCATAAGAGAAGTTATTTAGTAGTAACTAAGAAACTAAATAGTTATTTTTTTTAAGAGTTGCCCCATTCACACTAATAAGATTTTTGACTCTGGTGCTGAACTGCAGTACTGTATAGAAAGGGTTGTCCAGGCAGATGCAGTAGCATTCTCAGGCTACACTATCAGTGGCTCCAGATCTATATATATCTATATCTATACATAGACATAGATATATGGGATTGCATCCCTCAACTACCTCAGTTCCTTCTCCAGGGTCTTCACAGACCAAAAATACAAAGAACACCAAGGCAAAGGGAAGAGAAGTAGAGAGTGCGACTGTTAGGGACCTATTGAATTTATGGCAGAAGCGAGGTGCACTATGGCTCCTTAAATCTTGCAGGTTCCACTGTGCCCACCCCTTCCCCACCCCCATTGTTTGGTGAAGGGGCCCCACTTGCAGCTTGTCCCCACCTTCAGTGGGAAGGTGAAAACTGCGGTTTTAAATATGGTGCCGTTTTTGCCTCCCGCCACTGCTGCACTGGTGGGAAGGCAAAATGGTGCCATGTTTAAAACCATGGTTTTAGCTTCCCTGATAATCAGGAGGAAGTGGTGGGGTCCTCTGCTAATCAGCAGCAAGGGGGTGGGGCGGTTCTGATAGGATGGAATTGCTTTCCAATCTCCTATTAGTGGTAAGGCACAGAAGCTCTTGAAGAAGGAATAGATATTATTTAAAATCACTAGGGACCTACTGAATTCATGGCAGAAGTAGAGCGCACCATGGCTCCTTTAATTTTGCATGTTTTCCCATTCACACCTCACCCTTGCCCTCCCTCCTCCCTTGCTGCTGATTAGCAGAGGACCCCACCACTCCCTCCTGATTAGATATCTGGCTATTAAGAACAGTTTTGATAGATAAATGTTCTAAGGCTATCTGAGCCAGGAACTCAAAAGATAAACCAATAAGTATGGGGAAGACAAAATTCTAGTTGTAGGCAAGAAATATTTTCTTACAGGATGATGGAAATTAGCCATTAGCTGGAGTAGATACAAAACTATGGGGTGAAAGAATACAGGTTTATCCATTAACAAGTTGTGGTAAGCAGAAATAGCTGTTAAATGAACCTTGAGAGAAATTATAAGTAACTGAAAGTGACTTTCAGTGCAGTAGATATTCTATAACTGTGAGGATACCAACATGACTGACCAATACAACCTAATCTACAGTAGCAGCAAATGAACAAAGGTGTGCCAGGAGACTTGTTCCTTTATACAGATTAAGCCAATGTTATTATCGTTCTAGCCTTAAGATAATAATCGATCCCCCAGAAGACATGATTTTTCTGCATAGTTTTGCATCTCCACATCAGAAGTGCTGAATTCTATTAGTAGGAATGCACAGAGACCCTCACACAAGAAACATTCTAGATTATTTACTACATATATAATATACAGATGAGTAGGTAATCTACTTTATTTCCAGAAATATATTATAGAATCCATAAAAAGTATATTTCTTAAGTACAACCACAAATTCTACTAAAAGGATAAATGTTTCCAATTACTAGTTACAAGAAACAACAGATATCATTCATACCTTTTCTCCAATGTCTTTTTCCTTTCCATCTACATATGAGTCACAAGCCGTTATAGATGGGTCTGCAACATGTCTGAGAATTTGTTCCAGATCTTTTAATATAATTTCTGTCTGAGAGACAACTAAAAATATAAAATTAATAATCCAACTAAAATGCACATTGTACAGTATTCTAATTCATTCTTTTAGTATAGTGGGTGAGAGAAAGAATATTTACAGGGAAAATCATGATTTTAACCATACATAGAAACAGATTTCATAGAAGATTAAAAATAAAACAGATCATAGTGATCATAGAAATTAAGGGCTGGAAGGGACCTCTAAAGATCATTGAGTCCAATCCCCCTGCTCTGGACAGGAATACTGCTAAGATCAAATGATCCCAGCAAGATGTCTATCCAGTCTCCTCTTGAAGACTTCCAGGTTGGGGACTGCACCTCTTCCTTGGGAAGCCTATTCCAGATTCTGGTCACCCCTACCATAAAGAAGTTCTTGCTTACATCTAACCTGAAACCATCCTTTAACACAGAAGTGGGCTATTATTTCAGGTGGAGGGCCACTTAACGAGTTTTGGAGAGCTGTCAAGGGCTGCATGCCCTGCCCGTTGACAGTTGCCCCATTCCCTGATCACCATCATGGGACCAGAAGTCCCACCTCCTAATCCCTGACCTTTGCCACTGAAAGTCCCTCCCCTTGCCCCCAAAAATACTCGTTGTGGGAGGGGAGCTGCCATCTTAGAACCAGGAAAAAAAAAATTACACACTAAAAGTCAAACACCTACTATAACATATTTTAATTTTATTACAAAAAATATTTTTCTCACGATTTGTGTTTGCATAGTCTATAAAGAGGTGATTTCACAATAACTCAAAAATAAATTCTTAGTCTTGTATATTGTGGGGGGTATGGATGGTGTGTGTGGTGAGGTGGGGGTGTGTGTATGGTGGGGTGTGGGGGTTGTGGGAGAGCGTGGCTCTGTGTGGGGAGCATAGGGTATGTCAGGGGTTGTGTGGGCAGGGTGTGGATGTGTGGCAGTTGTGGTGTGAGGGAGTGTTGTGGGGTGTGGGGACCCCCCCACACTCCCTCCTTGGTGCAGCAGTAGCAGGTGGGGGTACTCAGGGTGCTGTTGCATAGTAGGGTACAGCTCTGACCAGCGCTGCACATTGCGGTGAGGGGTGCAGCCTCTGCCAGGCAGTCTGTATCACTGGTGCTCCCTGCACTCACCAGGCACAGAAGGGAAGCCTCAGGTGCTGGAGCCAGCTGCTTTCCCTCCCCCCAGGGAAAGATGCCTGGGGCTTCCCTCCCTTGCCGCACAGCCTTGGCAGGAAAAGCAGCCCACTCCTTGTCCTTGTCACGCAAGTGAAGGAAGCATCAGCGATACAGATGGCCCAGTAGAGGCTGCACTCCTTACAGCGATATGCAGCAGTGGCCAGCACCCAGAGCGCCCCCACCTGCTGCTGCTGCCACTGCCACCACTTGCCAGAGCTGTGCATCATGGGTAGAGTGTGTGGGGGTCCCCACACTCATACCCTGCCCACCTGAGCTCCACACTGCCACCACCCTCCTCGGCATGGACTCCATGCTGCTGCCATCTCTAGCCCCGTGCTCCATGCCCTGCACCCTGCCCCCACTGCTTCCCTATCTGTTGCCTGGAGCGAGCAGCACACCGGGGAAACAGCACATCCCCAGGGGCTGCAGCAGTCTCACCTGGAAGGTGTGTGCTGGCTGGGCTGGGCCTTTCCACCCTCAAGGGTGGGAGTGAGATGCAACAGGGTATGTTTGGGGCATGTGTACATGTAGGCACCTCACTCCCATCCTCATAGGTGGCAGGGCTGGATGGGGTGCAATTCATTGGTGGGCGCCAAAGACTGGATGAAAGTGCCTGCCATGCCAGATCTGGTCCACAGGCCGTATTTTGCCCACCCTTGCTCTAACTGTTTATGGCCATAGCTCCTTGTCCTCCCTTGGGGCACCTTAATGAACTGTTTTCCCCCAGCTCCCAACATTCTTCCCTTACATACATATAGACAACCACCAAGTCCCCCTCAGTCTTCTCTTCCCCAGACTGAACAGTCCCAGATCCCTTAGTCTTTCCTCAAAGTTTGTCCTTCAGTCCCCTAATCATTCTTGTGGCCTTCTCTGGATCCTTTCAAGATTCTCTGTGTCTTTTTTGAAGTGCAGCACCCAGAACTGGATGCAGTAATTCAGCTGGGGTCTCACTAGCACCAAGTAGAGAGGAAGAATCACTTCCTTAGCCCTGCTTGCAATGCATCAGCTAATGCCTCCCAATATGCTATTAGCTCTGTTGACTACAGCATTGCACTGGCAGCTTATGTTTATCCTGTGATCAGTCATAACCCTGAGGTCCCTCTCAGCCATTGCGCTGGCCAGGATATCTCCTGCTAACCTATATTCATGTTGCTGGTTACTTCTCCGCACTCTGAATTTATCCTTATTGAATTGCATTCAGTTCCACTCCACCTACTTTTCTAGCTTGTCCACGTCCGCTTGAATCCACATCCTATCCCCTAGTGTGACTGCTTTTCCCCACAACTTAGTATCATCCACAAACTTGGATAGCATGCTTTCCACATCCTCATCTAAATCACTGATAAAGATGTTGAACAGCATGGGTCAAGAACTGAATCCTGTGGGACACCACTGGCCACCTCCCGCTAAGACAATACAGACCTGTCCACTAACTCTCTCTGGGTTTGACCTCTTAGCCAGTTCCCAACCCACATGACTGTGGACTCTGCCAGCCTACAATCCCCCAGTTTTTTTTATAAAAACGCTGTGAGCACGTCATATTCTCTCGCTTCAGAACCACGTCTGTTTACTGGGATCACACTATATAACCGCCACACACTTGCTTGCCATGCCTTGATGGCAAATATGTTTGGGAGGATGAATGTTCTGGCTTGATGGTCCATCTGATCCCTTTGCAGATCTTCTGCAGGGCTCCGACCTTCCCATTACCCTACCCCATCCTATCAGGTGGATGGTTGATGTGCTCCATGGGTGGTGAGCGGAGCCTGTCCAAGTCTTTCTCTCTCTACGTTCTGCTCCCAGTAGCTGGTTTTATGTCTTTGTCAGTTCAATCAATCTAGGAATACAGTCCTCAAATCAAACATGCATCCTTTCTCCAAGGTCCCTTGGTGATATTCCCAAGTGGGTCTCTATGCTTTGACCCTAGCTTTCCCTATTGTCCCCTCTTTGGGAATCTGGTACCGCTTCTTTCTTAATTATAAACTCAAATCTCCAGGAAAGGATTTTCTCCTTTTCATACTCCCTTCTTAGGATTCATCTCCAGTAGGACAGAGTTAAACCCACAAAACAAACAAACAAAAAAACCTCTTAGCTGTCGCTTTCAACCTGGTTCTTAGAGACAAACATTCACAAATAAATCTCTCAGAGTCCTTCTCCCTCCTCCCAGATTTGCTCTGTCAGACTCCATGCCTCTGCTCATTTCCCTTCACCAGCAGTGTAGATTAACCCTTCCCCTTAGGCCAGCTGCCTCAGTTTCCCTCTTGCTTCCCTCTCTTCCTGGTAGGCTGGCTAGCTTTATCTCTGTCTCCTTATCTCTCCTTCACTTGGCTGGGGGTATGCCAACCATTTCTCATGGGGCTCTCCTTCCCCAGAATCCCAGCTCAGATTCCTGTGGAGACGCCTCTCCAGGTCACTCCCCACCTGTCCCAGTTCACCTCTCTCTCTGGGAGGGACAATCCTAATTCATGGTTGTCCTGGTTCCAGCAGCTCCCAAGGGTCCAACCTATGGGCATTTTTCTTCAGAGGTCTCCCCTCCTGCAGGCTCCAGTGTTTTTCGCCTGGTAACACTGAATGCCAAGCTTCCCTCAGCATTCTCCCTTTAAATGGCCCACTGCTTTCCATGTGCCAATCAGGGCCAGTTCTCTGGAACGAAGGTTCCCACACTCCTGGAATTGCTGGCAGCTTTGTTCCTCCAGATGCCAAAGCTGTGCCACACATCCAAACCCAGGTGGACAAGTTCCCCTACCTGTGGGACTTTTCCCATGAGAGTGTGGCAGGTGGGGGGCCCTGTCCCTGCCACAAGCATCATGGGAGACTATACTGAAGGCCTTTTTAAAAACCAAGTATATGACATCAACCACATCTCCCACATCTAAGTGGATTCATTATGATTACTTGATCATAGAAGGAGACAAGGTTGGTCAGACACAACCTGCCTACAGTGAAACCATGTTGGCTATCCTTCAGCATCATGCCTTCTGCCAATCTCTCACAAATGGAGTTCTGATAATTTTTTCCAAATTTTACCGAGCATCAAAGTCAAACCGACTAGCCTATACTTTCCCAGATCCTCCCTCATATTGGCCCTTTTTCAGTCTTCCAGGACTTCTCCCAAGTCTTCAAATACCTTCACCAATGGTCCTGCAATGACCCCAGGCAGTTCCTTCAGCACTCTCAGGTCTAGTCCAACTTGTCCTGCAGACTTGAAAACATTCAGCCCCTTTAAGTGCTCCCTCACCAGTTCAACACTGACCATTGGTTGGCAAATCACCCCCACCCCCTGTATCTATCCAGTATCTGACCCAGCAGGTGACCACCATTTGCATGCAGAAACACCAATGTAAAGTGTTCCTTAAAGAGTTCAACTTTCTCCTGACTGTCTGTTATCGGCTGGTCCATCCCGTTCTGCAAGGGCACCACATTTCCCTTGGTCTTCCTCCTGCTCCCTATATACCTAAAAAAGGACTTCTTATTGTCCTTGATTTCAGTTGTCAAGCTAATCTCAAATTACATTAAAAATAAAATGCCAAGTGCAAATTTTTTAAATTAAAATAAAAAGGACCTTCTAAATTGCTTGTATAACATTTCCTCTTGGGCTTTCTAGATAGAATGCCTAGGAGGTACAAAATTCAACAAGATACACATTGCCAACTAGCAGTGTTGAAGCAGAGCTCTTTAGAGAAAGGCCTTTGGTAGACTATCTCCTTCCTACATATTTTTATGGGGTTTAGCCTCTCTCTCCTTCCTTCATTACGGGGTTTAGAAAAATATTTTAGGGCATGAATTTTTATGGGTGATATCTTCTATTGGACCATTTGAGTTGCTGAGATAGATGTGTGGGTATCACAGTACC